AATAACATTTTCGCAAGTTTTAAAAAATATGATCAATAAGATATGCGAAAGAAAAAAATATTTCGCTAATATTTAGTAGCTGATATTTGCAAATGAAACGGGGGGGGGGAAGTGTCCGAGAACAAATGTGAGCCACTGTAAATAATATTCTTTATTAACAATTAAGGAAGTTCATCATCACAAAACCTCTACATACACAATATTTTGAAATTCTATGTCGCCCTGCTTGTTATTTCATATGCTTAAAGTACCTCTGCAGCGTCAGGATTTAAAACTCTATCGAAAATATCAGTCAAGAAATAAAATATCAAATTCGGAAATAAAAATACTTAAATTAATTTACGAAAAAGCAATAGAGAAAAATTCACCTAGAAATTATAAAAAACCTAGCTGATCAAAAACATTAAACCATGTTTCTGAAAGCTATAATGATCTAATAAAACGTTAGAGAAATATAAAATTTTAGTAGACAAATAAGTAACGCCCTTTATCAATCTTTTAAAGCAGAATAATTACGAATTAAATCACTTTTGTGACATGGTTTTCCCGCCCAAACAAAAAATACTAATTTTTAGGTTCACTATTTTGCTTTTGGGATAGAAGAAATATTCGTTCAAAGCATTTAAAATTTTTTATATTACTTTCGGAAATCGCAAATCTTGCTATATTTTTGTAAGATGCAGAATGTACATAAAAGGTTATCCCTTAAAAATAATAAATAAATAAAAACTTTAACTTAAGATTGCATTAAAATATTTAAGAATAAAATTTAAACAAGAGGACCAATACAAATAAGTATCATAACCGAAAATAAACTCCACAAACATTCAAAAGAAAAGGTATATTCCAACTAAATTTAGATTAGCCTGAAAGTTGCAGTCAACTAATTTATTAAAGAACTTACACCCTGAAAAATAAAGTACAGTAGCTAATTTTGTCGCACATTCAAATTTCCTAATTAAATAATATAAGACTTACCATATGAAAAGAAACGAAAAAGATCGATTAGCAAGGTTGAAACTTCAACTAACAACGCATTTTGGTTTTCTCTTTCCCTGATTTAAACAAAAAGTTTCTTCAAAGCGAGAGTTAACTACCCATGTAGGAAATTTGCCAACAATAACTTTTTTAAATATATCGATATTTTTATTTCCTTTAAACAAAATTTATTTAGTATAGGAATAATTTTTATACATTAAATAAACTCTTAAAAATAATTAATTAAACCATAAAAATTGAGTCGCTCATTTTCGAAATAATGAAACCGAAAACCGTATACTGAAACAGAAAATCGATATCGTCCGCGCTGGTGTGGAGAAACACATATGATATGATAAACACACATTCCAGAACATCTGAAAAGTCGTATTTTTATTTCGACAATAAATTGCAGATTTTTATAATAAGTGGGACAAAAAAAATCAGACAGCTAAAAAAAGACACATCGAATAGCAAAACATAAAACAATTAATGCTTATGCTCCTCGCATTTATGAAAAAATGGCAGCACCTATAGCCACCAAATTTTAAAATTTAAAGAACTCTTGATTAAAAACTCAGCGATACAAAAGGTTTGTGTTGCCACTCGGAAAAGCGTTAAATATTCTTGTTTCAAATTTAATCAGAAAACTCAGCGATATAAAAGAAGTGTGTTGCCATTTAACGCAATTCATCTATCTTTCGAACTTAATCAACAATTTACTCAGTTATTAATTAGCAAACTTAGCGATTTAAAGGCAATAAATACAAATTCATTTCAATCATTATTAATTGGATCCGGAAATTGCATTCGATGAATTTATAAAATCACTCCACTTTTTATAGAAACTATATTTTTGAGGAATGAACACCGCATGGAACTATAATTATTTAAATATGAACTTACTCTTATCATTAGCATAATATTATTATTTACTTACATAATTAAAATCGATAAAACTAAATAAAAAAAGCACTTAATAATATTTCATGTGTGAATTCTAAAGTATTAATAAATGTACTAAGCAGCACTAAATGCGATAAAGTGTGTTAAGTAGTATTAAAAACAACTTCTCAGTAGTTCTTTTGAGTCAATTATACTTGTACCTTCTCAAGTTATAGAAATCGGTAAATTAGTTAAAAGAAGTGGTAAGCAGTATATTTTGCTTTAAGATATCTTCAAATTGTAAATTACAAATACATAACAATATGATAAATATGACTAATAGTACTATGGATGTACATAAAATTCAAGAATTTAATTTGAGATTTCTGATAACGTTTAATCTATACCATGCAGTTTTTGAGACATACTGTCTGTCTATGGTAAGAACAGCTCTGGCCAGTTTGTCTGCAGCTGTCTGTTGCCGTAGAAACGAGCCCTAACCCATTTTTCGTAGGGGTGTCTTGAAGACTACTTCTGAGTTTGCCACCTTGGCGCATTTAAAGATGATTTGGCGATATTCACATTTTGTTTTAGTTTCAAGTAAAATGCTTGTTGACCCTTTGCGTCGACCCCGACATCCAATTTCCGAAAATGAAATTCGATGGCGTAGATAAAGCTTTTGCAGTCAAGAAACGGTCTTTGATTTTGCCGTGTGAGGTACAAGTCGCTAAATTTGCAATCCCTCTAGATGTACAATGAGTAGAAATAAACTTGTAGGGAAATAAATTTAAAAATCTGTGTTTATTTTTGAAGAAAAATTTTAATTTCGACATTTAAAAAAATCATGCTATTATTTTGCTTCTTTTTTGTTTATTTGTTTGCTTGCAAAATCATAGATGACATCTTAGAAATCTACTTGATTGCCCCATTCTCTTTATATAGTATAGACGCACTTCATAAATATAAAATAAATTTAATTTTTATAGTTCTCCCCTCTAGCTGATCTACCGTGAACATTCAAAGCAATTTCTTCAGTCTTTAAATGACGTTCTGCTATGTTTTTTATTTCAAAATTTTCTGTTAATTTATTGCTTGTGCTTTAATAATGACTAAAAATTTCATTATTAAATGTATTGAATGTAAATCATTAAATGGAATCGTCTTATCCATACTAATTGATCATAATAATACATCTTAAATGATGGAAGTAAATCAATTAGTATGGAATCATTTGAAAGTAAAAGCGTTTACAATACCCATGCTCTCAATAAATACTTTTTGCGAACATTTCTTCTTTTCTCATACCTTTAAACTAAACCAAAAGCTGGTTAATTTAATGGCGGAAGGAAGCGAAGGTGAATTAAAATCAAAACTGCTTTTTCCTTAATTACCAGTGGGTTTGGGTTGGTTTATATGATTACGGAAAGCCTCCAGGGTTAAATGCCTAAGAGGAGGGATGCCTCCATGGAGGGCTTGCTAAGGGAAACTGGCTGTGCGCCCAAAACCGTATCATGTTGCCAAAATTTCTTAAAAGTTAAATTGCTGTCAATCCATGTTTCATCGATGTAAACGATGTGGCGTTCGTTCACTTGCTCTGAGTTTTCTCATTTCGCGTAAATAATTGTTCCTCCAAAATACAATGTGAGGTCTTTCGATAAGATTTTTTTTTTTTTTTTTTTTTTTTTTTCTACGCATTCCAACGAAAATTCATTGAACACAAAACTTTGCACAAAGAGTCTTTTTGCCACGGGAAGTCTAATTTTTGCCTCAAGACAGGCAGTAATTTCCGCACAGATGGCACTTTCTTTTCTTTGATGTAAAAGTCTTGTATTGTCTGCCGTAGAACGCATTTGTCAAAATCGTAAATTTCACATTTATGATTAGCAGGGCTTTTACATTTCTTTCCAAGTGTATTCAGAAGTTTATTTTCACCCATTGTTGATACTTCGCTCTTCAAAACTTAAGGAAGAGGAACTACTAAAGAGTTCGCCGAAACTTCAGAAGCGCAAAATTCTGCGACACTATACACGATTTGACGTGACTGAGACTTTAAAGGTTGACCTTTCTTAAACTGGAAGGGCATTTTAAAAAATTGGCGATTAACAAAGCACTACGAAAATCAAGCTAAATAGAAGCGAATTTGAGCAAATGCTAGCACAAATGATATAACAACGAGAATAAAAAGAGCTAATAGTAATAATATAAGGCTTAAGAAAAGATGCGTGCAGCTGGAATGAAGCCGAGAAGACGAATGATAAACTTCCCTTAAGCCAACAGTCGCCAAAAACAAAATAACAATAAAGCAACCCTTGGTTCGTCCCTATTTGAAATATAGTAGCCCTGTTGCTATAGCGACCGCCACTCGCCAGACACCGTGGCGGGAGCTGTTCTTACCGTAGACAGACAGTATGACCTTCAGAAATGTCCCTTGGTAAAGTTTGTTATCGCATAATCGGATTCATTGACACTCGTCATTGCTGTTACATTGTGCATTGTTGTTCACAAAGGTAAAGATTGTTCACCGCTACTGGGAATACTCAGAAAAATAACCATTTATTGCACATTCCTAAGAGCAATGAACAGTGCCAGAAGACGCAAACGTAATCCATAGGTAGACTGAATTGTTTAAATAGCTGTAAAATGCACAACTGATGTGCATACCCTTTCTCATATAGTAGTAATCCGGGTAGAACATCTACTGCATTAAAAACCAACAGAAATTAATCAAAATCAGCAGAACACACTTTCTTGTTTCATAGCGAGCACATCACAATGATTTCCATGCTTAATCCAGGCACAGAAAGGCATCTTATTGACAATCCAAAGAGTAATTCACAATCGTTCAAGACCCACAGACTTCATAATCCATAATCTATGAGACGAGAGATAGTATGGATAACTGATGACTGCACACTTGATCGATCACCTAGAAACCATCATGAAGTGAAGACATTTGAAATGCAAAGAACTTCAAACTGAAACTGAAAGTGCACGAAAAAAATGCAAAATTTCACTATTTCATATATAATCTCACGAAGCAAAATAATGGTCTTTGCATACAGGGGATCAAGCATTTATGAAAGGAATCCGTGAAAATGAACTATACACACAAAACAACAAGGTAGATAGTGAAAAACACTTACCTGGCGCAACTCGGTGGTCGGGATGAGATACGAAATACGCAGCACCACCAAAACAGGCTGGAAGCAGTAGACACACGATCGCCATCACCGAGGCCCGCAGTGGGGCCGGGTGCCGGCCAGATGCGGCAGCAGCCATAGTTCCAACAGACACGCAGAACACACCGCCGCACTCCACACAGAAAAACGCGGTCTGGGTCTGTTCCTCCGGTTTACCTTCTTTCTTCTTTTTCTTTTATTTTTGCTTTTCGATGAGGTTTTACCACAGCACTCCCCCCTCTCTTCCGACTACCATCGGGCAGAAGGTACCCCAGGGGTGGGCGGGGCCATTTGCCGTGGTGTTCTTCGTCCGAATGTCTCTGGCTGCATGGGTTCCCCGGGGCCGGGCCGGCGGTCTGCAACAAAGAGAAAAACGTGTTCTATCACAAAGCAGAAACGACAGCTCAATTTCGCGTTGGGTGTTTTTGTTTTGCTTTACAGGTTTTTTCCCTCCCTTCTCTGTATTAATTTTAAAAGAAGACCTGGCACGGCAACGGGAGGGTGGAACGCAAATTGCTTATTTTCGACTTGCAATAAAAGTCTCTTATCTTAATTTTATTAATTAAAACCGGAAAATGTTTGAAAGTTGGGCCACCGGTTGCCTTATTAGACTTTTCTTTTTAGCATTATAATTATTTTCTTTTCAGCATCACGAAAGGAGAAAGAGCTTTAATACTTTTTTTAACCATTCACAGCGTCCCCCCTTTTTTTTATTTATTTTAGTTTATTCACCTTTTTTTTCCCCCTCTTTATCACTCGCTTTCTCGAACGCATTAATTTTTTCCCCTGCATATTTGTTCGCCAAAGCTTCTCAAACAATGAATTCTTCACTTGATTGCGCTAAAAATTAAGGTAACACGTCTAGTCAAGATTCAAGAGTTTTGCTCCATCTCAAAGAAAACATTAATAAATAAAAAGCGTTTTGAATGTTAAGGCTAAATTCGAAGAAAGTCCGTCCACTAAGTTTGGATTATAGGGGAGGGGGGGAAAGAAAAAGAAAACTTGCAACATGATCTGTAACACGAAAGGAAGAAAATCAGCTAGAAATATTAATTATTCAACACTGACGAAGCTCATACGCAGGGACTATTTATCAACACCAACAATTAGAAAATACAAATTAAAGGCTTTAATATTAATACTCCGGTATTATGTGCCTAAGCCTCAAGTCACAGAGGTGAAAAAGAAAAAGCTCATTAATTTCAAACAACAAAAGTCAAAACATTATTGGAATTAAAAACCACAATTCTCATTATTACATCACTTTTCTTTTACAAATATAAAAAATAAATAAATAAATAAAAATTCGATTTTTGAACTTAATTTTAATAGTATATTAAAAGTAGCTATTTCTTTTTCTAATTGATATAACAAACTAAAAATAAAAATTCGTTCTGCTTAAGCACATCACTTTAAATTAAGCTTTTAAAAATTCACCCTTTCTATTGTATATATTACATGTATTACAGCAACAAGAATAACAACAACAATGACAACACAGAAAACTGGATAATACTAATAATCAAAAATACACAAAGCAAATTTAAAAAGCAGGAAATTTTTGTATGCCAAGATGATAAATTAGAAATATTTAATATTAATCAAGGTAAAAACGAAAAAATAAAATGAAAGCGTAAACTAAGAGTTACAGAGGGTCTTTACACACTTTTTGAACAATTTCAAGAGCCGTAAAGCGCACTTTTTTAAATGTTAGCTAGCAAGACTTACTAGAAGTCTGTTTCGTGATTTCCGTGACAGAAGGGCTTTTCTTAAAATTTTCAGGAGTGTACATTTCCATTCCTCTTCCACTGCTTTCCACGATTCCTCAATCATGGTAAATTTGCGCTTAGAAGGAGTTTTTTTCAAGACATCAAATGCACAATAGTGCATAGAATAGACCGTAGGTGAAACGTTGACTTTACAAGAATGCGTTGAAAAAGTATGTATGCAATACATGTATCGGTCTTCATTTTTTCACGGGAAAAAATTTTGATCAGTCAGTGTCATCCGTATTCGGATGACGTCCATTTGAGTATTTACGAGGTTAGCTAGTATAGTATGTATTTGAAAAAATTATGTTTGAATGATGAAAAAAAGAGTAGAAAATGATTGTTACAGAAACTGATTGTTGAACTAAATTCATTCCATTCAATAAACTGAATTGCACTTTTTTCCGTAGCAGCTTTTCTTTCTTCCTCAGTAATCAATTCTTGTAAAATATGATCAATTTTATCACAAAATTTTTAACCATCCGTCACTACAGAAAATTTTTTTGGAAAAGATGAAATTATTTTTTAATCTAACACGCTTTCTTAGATGCTTTGTTCTTAAGGATAGATTTTGAATTAAATGAATGTCCCAAAGCGTTTCTAGACATTTCGTCTAGTCAGACGGAGATTTTCTTATAAACTGGTGTGGCAATTAATGTGTTAATTATGCATTCACGGTTTCTAAAATTTTTGAACAGCAATGAAATATCTTATGCATCACCGAATGGCAACAACATCTATTTAATCGACAACAAAATTTTAGAAGTATTTATCATCCTTTCTTATTTACATTTAATGAACTTGTCTAATTCATAGACATAGAATGAATCCTAATTTTCTCGAATCTCGCAAACATATATGATTAATAGTAAGAATGGAAAACATAGAGGGAAAAAAAGAAAAAGAAAATTAGTATTTCGTTATAATTTTATTGGTAAAAATCAATCTACTTCACCTCTACATATCATAAAAGGAAGAGTCTGTCTGTCTCTGTGTGCCTTTCGTTCGTGCTGCGCGTACGCTAATACACCGCTATGAAATTTACGTACGCTATGAAATTTGGTACATACGTGCATCTCGAAGGGAGTTTTTCAAAGTTCGAATGAGGTTTTTTATTTTTTTTATTTTTTATTTTATGTTTTTTGATGAAATCGCATCAAATCGATAATTCTCTCTGATTATATCAGCAACAATGGAACGCAGCCATTACTGCTGATATATATCACTGTTGCCGCTCGGAAAAATGATGGCGATAATTCTGTGCAGTTTTTAAATTTAATGTTTCTCTTGGATACCGGACGTTTGTCGAAAGAAGTCTATGGGAAGTTGGTTAATTTATTTATTATAATAATTAATATTTGCATAAAGGGATATTGCGTATTTCATTGTAATTTATTTATAAATCGATCAATCTTTTGATAAAGTTGTTCTGCAGAGTAAAATTTTGTGCAGCTTTTAAATTTAATGTTTGCTATTCGCGTTAGGCCTTTTTCCGGAACATTTAAAAGTCAGACGGAGGCTGGCCGGTGGCTTGGCAAATGCGGTCGAGAGCAGGAGACTGACGTTAATTACAGAAGGAGAAAGTAAACGGCTGTGTCAGGGATCATAAGAGGTGATATATTTAAAAAAAAAAAAGTGTTTTTAGGTCTCATTCAGTATCAGTATATCAGAAATAAATGATGCACATGGTATCAGAATGGAGACAAATTACATAAGATACGAAAAGTTATATTTATTTGTTTATTAACATTTCATTATTACATTGTTTTCGTTCAGGAATTTCCTTCCACCCCCCCCCCCTGAGCAATACAAACAGGTACATGTAAGACGGCTGAAAAGCACTGCTATAAACAAATAATCCAACCCAATTCCAGTTGAACAGCGCTTATTAATACTAATTGTTTACGGAAAGCATCCTAGTTTTTGAAAAGCTTCGTATCATCTAACATAAAATTAATTAATTAATCATCTTAAGAATGATTTTGTGTTGAATATGGCAAAACATATGAGGGTTGGCTAGGCATGATTTCATGGAGAATTTTGAGGAAATGGGCTCATATTTACATACCTTAAGATTATAAGTATTGATTAACATTTCCTATATAACTACTTCTAATTGAGGCTTTCTAAGAGCAACCCCCTTAATTTTGACTCGCAGCTTTTAATTTTAGACTAAAATATGAGCATAGAATCTACCTTTAAACAATGGGATTTTTTTTTAAACACTGTGGCATGAGAGTGCCTAGTAATAATAGTTTTAGCGTCACTAAGAATCATTTTCTGGATTCTCATATTGATTTTTTTCCAAAAGATATTAAAAGCTGCAATTGACAAGTATGAGCAATGCATAATACATACATATATAACGTAAGCATACCATAAAGAAAAATGAACCCCCAACAAAAGCTGATCGACTGCTATTGAACTCTAAAGAGGGGTTTATCAGAGGGGAAATGGCAATTAAAATCAATTAAAATTGCATTTAATTGATTTTAATTATTTATTTACTGTATCGATTTATTACTTATTGTAATGGATTGGAATATTTGAATATGAATTAGCTGAATATTTAAGAAAATATTATGACTGCGAGAATAGGAAAAAAAAAACATTTTTGAATATTTACTTTCTTATAGAATGCAGATGAATTCATTTTTACTCAACGAAAATCAAAATTTAGTAGCTAATTAATCTGTCCTGTATCGAGCACTTTAGTTCAGTGATCCGTATTAATGTGCGCTTTTTTTAAAAAAAATTTAAATGCTTCAAGAATAATTAGAAAAAGGGCATAATTCTCTTCTTACCCTTAAATTCTTCAATAAAAAAACTGCATTTTCAGCTATAACCAAGTGAAATAATTTTCTAAATATAATTCAAAGCATGAAAAATAAGGTACATAAACAGCTTTGAAATGGAACTAGCATTGAGATTCTCTTTAAGAAATATGGTGAAGCTTAACAAAAGTCTACGAAGTGAAGTAATTCCGTAGAATATTTTCTAACTCTTTATGATTAAATTGCACTCAATTATACTTTATAAACGACATGTAAATACTATTTAATGTATATGTGGGATGTGTGTGTGTGTGGCTCACTAGCGGCTGAGCTGTAAAGTCGTTGAACTCTGGCAGGTCGATCCGGGGTTCGAATCCGGATCGACGGGGATGGCTGTATTGGCGTTTTCGAGGTTTTCCCCACGTGTAACGTGCATAAGAGTCAGTTTTGCTTAGAAAGTTCTCCACGAGGCACCCTTACCCTTAGGCAAATAACCGTCGAATGCTTTGCTATAATCAAACAAACCAGACCAAACAATAGATATATAAATAAGTAGCTTAAAAAACTGCTATATTTTATGTATACTTATCAAGTAGTATTTCAATATATATAATGATTAAAAGAAAGGAAAAGTCGGATCCTAACTGATTGTATATAATGTAATCCCTATGAAGGCCCTAACAATTCTTTCTCACTTAAAGTCGTAACCCAAAAAGAGAACAAAATTAAACTTCAGATACGTATACAATACTGAATCTAATACAAAATATAAAAATAAATTATATATGTACGAAACCTAACTAACTATTTATA